ATTGTGCCTGTTCTGGTGTCTTAACTTCAATCGTTTTTCACCACCGAAATTTTGCCTTCCTGCTACTTTTCTACAAATGCATTTATGGAAATTGCATTAAGGATCTCTTCGCTATGGTGCCTTGACTTATTGAATTTAAGTGCAGTACTAGACTGGCAATGAGGTCTCATCATTTTACAGTTGAGCTGGTTAGATATAACAGTAAATTCTATACTAACTTTTTCTTTTCTCGCTTGTGGAGCTCACTTCCGGGTTGATGCTTTACAGCCAACTTTAATGTTCAAAAATTTAAATGCAACTTCAATCTCTCTCTACTGTCCACTTGATAACTCTTTTTTGTTCTCACTGCTTTGGAATGTTTCTGTTGTATAACTCTTCCATACCCAGTAACACCCTGTGTCTTAGTGGCTTTACCTCCTCCCAGGGGTGTGAATTTGATTTCATATCATATATCCGGTCTGATGCTCTTGCTATATAAATCACGACATTCTCGACGAAAACCAAATAATCTGTAATTTTATCGGTCCTGACGTGGCATCTTGACTTCAGGCAATTTTCCACTGACGTAACGTGAATTCCCTGTGTTTTTTCCTATAAAAATTTAAAAAAAATTCATGTCAGTTGTGATAATGGGATCTCCTGCTTGGTACCGGGACAGCCTGACTATGAAGGAATTATAAAATTCGTAACTAGGTTTCATCGTTATCGCTAGATATAAACGTTTTATTCTAATGTCTTCTTTCCTCGAATTTCTCATGTGTGGAACTGATTTCTTCTTTTGTGCTTCCCTATGACATACGCTATTCAAAATCAAAATCCTTTTCTTGATTCTGGTCTTCTATTCTCTTTTCACACACAATAATTGCGTCTTACTGGCATTACGTTTGGTTTGAAACGATATAAAAATTTGTTCTTGAATAAATTTAGCAGGAGTGCAGGAGGACAATAAAGGAACAGATTTCATGGATACAGAAGTTGACAGATGATTACGAATAAAGATGCATTTAAATTTTTGAAGATTTTATTTGGCATGAAGCAAGAAAATGATAGAAAGAACGTCTGAGGTGCGATAAAAAGAACTATCAGAATGTGATTGGTGCATCTAGCTAGTTCAACAGCAGAAGGAAAAAAAAAACGTTGCTATGAAAATAATTGTAGAAAAGACAGAGGGAAGCCACGTGACGAAAAACTGAAAAAGTAACTGAAGTCGAAATTCCAGACTAGGATCGATTACATTACACAGCTTTCTTTTGTCATATATAGAGTAGAAGCACCAGACCAGATATGGCAACAGTATTCAATGGACGTAGAAATGGTAGATTTATAAATGTGCAAGATGGATTCGAAAGAGAAAAATTATGGCACAAAACAGTGAAACAATTTTCCTTGCATTCAATGACGCAACTGATTAGATATAGTCACTCCAATTCATATCATTGGGAAACGTGTGGAGAAGAAGGCGTAGAGTATTGATCTCCTGGAGCTCAGCGTCAGTCATCTTGATGGCAGACAGAAATCACTGTGGTAATTAAATGAAAGTAGTCTTCTCTTGGAATCGTTAAAATTTACAAGTCATTACTTGCCTTAGTTTACCACTGTGATAATGTGTCTAATCTGTCTGTCTTGCAACTAAGACAAGAGTAGAGAGTTGTGCCATCTGCATAGCTACCTAATTGGGAACAGATGACATAACATAATCAAGTATTATTTTTTAATAGGGTGTAACCCCCTCTCTTGAGGGGTTTGTAACATATCTATTTATCATCTCTAAGTTGCGTCTCTGTCTTATATGCCTCCACGCTGTCTCGGGCAGCTGTTCATTGCACGAAGGAGAGGGATCGGTGCCTGTACTGAGCCAGCGCAACCGACGCTTGCGGGCAATTTTTGAGCCTGGTCCGGGTGAACGCGCTCGGACCCCCACAATGAAAAATGACCTTGTGTCACAATTCGTCTTAGTGGGGAGAAAGAGTAAATACCTAGTGTGTAAAACCCTCTCTCGACGGGTTTGTAACACCTCTATTTATCATCTCTCAAGTGGCGTCTCTGTCTTTGAGCAGTGCACTCAGGGGCGACTCCGTCAAAGGACAGAGTCGCAACTGAGGAAAATTATACTGAGAGATGCCCAGCCCTGGTGAACAGCTGCCCGAAGCTGCACACTCTCATTGAACTAAAGAGAGGGATTGGTGCTCGCACACAGGCCAGTTCAACCGACAATTGCGGGGGCTGCGTGCAGTCTTTTGTGATTGGTCCGGGGTTACGGCTTCGGTTCCCTACCTTAAAAACGAAAACCTTGTGTCACAACTCGTCTTAGTGAGGACAACAAAGTAAATACCCAGTTTAGCATATATAAAGACTCTTCAAGAATTAATTATTATTATTATCATCATTATTATCGTCGTCATTATCATTTTGTCGTGAATGTTACTAAATGTGGCTCTCCACAACTTGCTATCCCTTAGAGCTCTAAGAAAGATCTAACTCTTTTCCAGCTCTATTTGCCCCTGCTCTTCCATTGATTCACAAAAAAGACATGATGTAGTTTGCAGCACTTTGACGAGGATATGTCAGCCACTCACGGATTGGCTGAGTTTCAAGTAATCAGTGTCTTCCATGTATACGCCTTGTGTGGGCATTTAAAACAAACTGCGTCTTCTGCGCGTCTGCGCAGTTGAAAGATACAGAGTCGTTTTTAAAGAAAAAATAGTTTTCACTTAAAATTCCAAGAATAATAACGTCATTGCCTTCTACTACACCCCACGGAAATAGAGGTATATTTCTTTGACAAGGTAGTAATATATAACGCCATGTGAAACTAATTCTTTGTTACCTGAATATTCATAATACAGCCGTAATTTAAAATCTTAATTGTCATTCTTTTTACTCAAACTTCTACTTTTTTAAATTATTAAATCTTTCTTAATTTCAAGCTTGCCATCCTCTTTTCTATGAGCCTATTAAAATAGTTACACGTTAAAAACTGTTACCTCTTCTTCAAACACATCATTCATTCGCATAAGACTTAACATAGAGTTACTTTACTTCTGTTATTGCGTTAAATATATAAATCATACAGTTACATAAAATCTCATATATCATAGGTTGTTCCGTTTGAATAGGATTGTTAAAATAAAACCCAAACGAAGAAGTAATACATTACATCATTTCATTTAAAATTGTTAAAGTAAAAGAATTCTTTGTTTTTATTTGCAGATCCAGATGACACATACCTGAAAAAAAATTGTAAAATATAAACGAACAAGAAACACAGTTATCGATACCGAATTTTTTATTTATTGAATGCGAAATTAGGGACACATTATTGTGCTGCTAATTCTAAACTCAGCTTCAGTTTCAATTAGGTCATTTTTTTCAACAATGAAGACTGAAGGTCAGTTGTCAAATACTGCAACACATGGATCGTTTTTTTTTGTGTTATTTTTCGCATATTTATTTTTATAGCAGGGATCAAGACAACAACAGAACAAGATTGCAATTCAAGTAAAAGAAAAGCATAAATTATTTAACGATCAATATATGAGGGTTGATGGGTGTCCAAATATATTTGTAAATTACACGGAGGTGAACCACAGCAATAGCATCCGACTATTGTTTCATTTCTTTTATTTCATACTTTTATTAATAAAAATGTATTTGACATCACATTTCCCACAAAAAAAATCACCCAAATGCGAATTACTTCACATACTGACTTGAGAAAAAAAAAGGAAACCTCATATATTCCCTGCAGACATGTCAGAATGTTCTTTTTTAGTAAAGGAACAAGGTAAAGGGAAACGCTTATAGGAACATGGTAAAGGGAAAGGCTTAAAATGAAAATCAAGAAGTTATATAATAAAGACCCCTTCCTCTAGATTAATATCACACTGAAAGTTTCGTCTGCAATTGCACACGCATGCGTACTGAAACAAAATTTTAATCCTGTACTCAACAATAGAAATCAAATATGAATGACGATCCGGCAGAATGATAGAATGAGAAACAAATAGGAAACTAAATTCTACAGATTTCGCTTTCATTTAAGCTTCATCATAAACTTTTGGGAATAGTTTGGGCAAGATAATATTCCCGTCTGAGTTATTTGCTTTTAATTGGTCAAGTAGATTTTATATCTGTATGTATTGCGGTATGTGTGTGTGCGAGCGCGCAAGCGTGTGTGTGTGCGTGTCTTTACGTCTTGCTTCTAGCGGGTATTTTTGTGTAATCTGTCGTAACATCAACTTGTTTAATTCCGGAAGATATCATGGGAGAATAACGATAAAGGTGTACTTGTACGTGTGCTAGTGTTTCCTATTTCTAGTTGAAGGTGTCGTTATGTGTGTTAACATTGGGCTAGCTATATGTTTTGAATAGATGGGATAAGCTCTGTCATTGAGGCAGCGAAAATGTACCAGAATATTATCTTCCGAATCGCTTTTCTAAAAAAATATTCTCACGAATCTTAAATAAAAGCGAAACAATTTAAAATTATAAATGTTTCCTAGTTCTCCCTTATTCTATCATATACACTGAAACATGATTTATATATAATCGATAATTCCACAAGACGTACATGATGTAAACGACATATATACAAATACAAATACACAAGTATACATACTTACGCAGAGTAATCCGCAAAATATGCTTTTAACAGGACAGATTTGATTAGCATAGAAATTGATAACGATGTATTGATAATATTAATGTGTTTCACAAGAGCTAATTTTTAAATTTATTTTAACATTTCTTGATAAACATCTTTTTCTTCATATGCGTTTAAATATAAAATATATGTATTTATGGCAGACAACTTGTAAAATATTAGACCCGTTCGCCAACAAATAAGCGTCATTTGAAAAAAAAAAAAGATTTACAAAGTAAATAAATCACATATGTTTTATAGCTGATTGGGCTATTTAACAATATCACCATGCAGTGAAATTTCAAAAAGAAACTGGCTGAACGGAAGGGGCTGCAAAAGTAATCTTGACAGATGGGAC